CTGCATCTATTGAGATGATTGTGTGGTTTTTGTCCTTGGTTCTATTAATATGGTATATTAAATTTATTAATTTTTGTATGTTGAACCATTCCTGCATCCCTGGGATGAATGCTGCTTGGTCATGGCATACAATATTCTTGTGATTTGTTGCATTCTGTTTGCCAGTATTGTATTGAGGATTTTTGCATCTATGTTTATTAGAAAGATTGGCCTATAGTTCTCTTTTTTGGTTGGATCTTTCTCTGGTTTTGGTTTCAGGGTAATGTTTGCTTCCAGGAATGAGTATGGGAGTACTGCTTCCCTTTTAATTTCATTAAAAAGTTTGAGAAGTAGTGGCATTAGATCTCTAAATTTCTTGTAGAATTCAACAGTGAATCCATCAGAAACTGAACTTTTCTTTGTTGGTAAGTTTTTAATTACATCTTCAATTTCATTGACTGATATTGGGTAATTTAGAGCTTTTATATCTTCCTCTTCCTCTTCTTCTTTTCTTCTTCTTCCTCTTCTCCTTCTCCTTCTCCTTCTCCTTCTTCTTCTTTTGATAGCAGGGATTGAACTCAGGACCTTGCACTTGCCAGGCAGGCAGCAGCAACACTGAGCTAAATCCCTGGCCCTAGCTTTTATATCTTCTTGATTCAGCTTTGGTAATTCATATATATCTAGGGATCTGTCCATTTCTTCTGTGTTTTCCACAGAAATATTCTCAAAGTAGGTATTGATCTTCTGGATTTCTGCAGGATCCATCATGATTCACCCTATTAATTCCTAATTACATGGATTTGAGTCTTTTATTTCCTTTTTGTGATAAGGTTAGCTAAAGGTTTGTCTATTTTATTTAATCTTTTAAAGAACCAACTCTTTGATCCATTGATTCTTTGTGTTGTTCTTTAAGTCTTGATTGCATTAATTTCTGCTCTGATCTTTTAAATTTTCTCCCTTGTATAATCTTTAGGCTTAACTTGCTCTTCTTTTTCTGGAAGCTTTAGTTTTAACATTGTTTTTTATTTGAGCTTGTTCTGTTTTTCTGATATGGAAATTCACTGCTATAAATTTCCCTCATAGAACTGCCTTAATTGCATTCCTTAAATTCTGATATATTGTACTGGCATTATCATTTAATTGTAGAAGGTATCTAATTTATTCTTTGATTTCCTCTGTGACCCATTGGTTGTTCAGGAGGGTGTTAATTTCCATGTGTTTATGCTATTTTTGTGATTTCTTATGCCATTGATTTCCAATTTCATTGCACTATGGTCTGATAATATGCATGGGATAATTTCAATTCCTTTGGATTTACCTAAGCATGTTCTATAGGCTAGTATGTGGTCTATTTTGGAGAATGTCCTGTGTGCAGCTGAGAGGAATGTGTATTCTGATGTTGTGGGGTGGAACACTGTAGACATTTGTTCAAAAATTTGGTTCAGTTCTGATATTCTTTAAATTTTTTTTTTGTCTAGTTGAACTGCCTATTTGTGACAGTGGGGTGTTGAGGTTCCCCCATTACAATTGTACTAGTGCTTATTTGATTTACCATGTCTGTTAATATTTGTTTTATATAGTTGGGTGTGCTGGTTTTGGGTGCATATATATTTATGATTGTGATCTCTTCCTCTTGGATTGTTCCCTTAACAAGGATGTAGTGACCTTCTTTTCTTCTCTTGATCAATCTTGGCTTGAAATCCACTTTGTCTGATGGTGTTTTGTTTTCCCTCCTTTGACCCTTAGTCTATAAATTTCTTTTTGAGTTAAATGTGTTTCTTGTACACAGAATATTATTGGATCTTGTGTCTTGATCCATTCTGCCAATCTGTTTCTTTTCTTTTCATTGGTAAATTTACATTGATTGTTATAACTGATATGTATTGATTTATCCTTGTCATGTTATTGTCCTGTTGTTGGTTCCTTTTCTTTCCCCTGTGTTTAATTGCTTGCTTTGCCTGGTAGATTCATTTTGTTTGGGGTTCATAGGGTTGTATTCTTCATTATCTCTTTCTAGAACATCCTTCAGAACATTTTGGAGAGATGGTTTGGTGTTCATTAAAGTTCTTTGGCATGGAAGTATCTTATTTCTCCATTAATTTTGAAAGTTAGTTTTGCAGGGTACACCAATCTGGGTTGGAGGCTGTTTTCTTTAAGGGCGTGAAATACTTCATTCCAAGCTCTCTTTGACTTACGGGTTTGTGTTGAAAAGTTTGCTGTGATTCTGACAGACTTTCCTTTGTGGGTGATTTATTTCTTTTCTTTAACAGCTTTTAAATTCTGTTCTTGTATTGAATTTCTGGAATCTTGACTATTATATGCCTTGATGTACTTTTTTTTCTTCATCGTGGCCAGTTCTATATGTCTTACTTATCGGTATATCAAATTATTTTTCCATGCCTGGGAAGTTTTCTACAATTACTTCTGTGAACAGGTTTTTTAATGTTATTTCCACTAACTGTTTTTTTATGGACTCCAATTAAAATCTTATATTATTCTTCTTTGCATCATCCAGCAGCTGTTGGATTGATTTTTGTAGTCTCTTGCTATTTTAAGAAATCTTTCTTTTTATGACTGCTAACCACAAACCTGTCTTCTAAATCTGTTATTCTATCCTCACATTGGTTCATTATGCTGTGTATACTTTCAATAGAATTTTTTTATCTCCTCAATGTCTGTTTGGGTCTGTTTTATGGATTCAATTTCTTTCCTACATTGGGCATTCATGGGTTCCATTATTTCCCTAAGCTCCACTAGTTTTAGCTGTATCTATTCTAGGTTCGATAACTATGTCCTTCACTATGGTCATCATCACTTTAGTTACCTGAGAAATCATTTCTAATTTGGTTTTTTTCTAGAGCCTCATTCATCTGTCTTGTTACTTCTACTGTCATCATTTCAGGGAGTTCAGGTGGGCAGCTTTCAAATTATTCTGCCTCATTTCTCCCAATTTGCCTTTGGTGAGCTGGAAGTAGTATGGGGTTGCAACTTGCTTCCATGTCTTCTCATTTTTCTATTTTTCTACTTTAATTTCTGTATTGATGCTTATAAATTGCTTATGGTAGATAGTTTTATTGCTAGTATTGTGAGCACTTAGGAAATGACTACTTTTCAGAGATGTCTTCCAGGTGTAGCTAGCTTCTGGCTTTTGAATCTGTTGTAAGATCCTACCTCTTCAATTTATTGGGGATGAGAAGTTGCTGCCTATTTGGTCTAGCTGCTGGTTCTTTGATACTGGCCTATAGTATTGTTTATGACCCTCAAGCAATCTCAGTCTTGGCATTCAAGGAAGAACAACTGATTAGAACAACTATGTCACTTTGGCTAAAGTAGTACAATCTGTAATAGCAGTAGCATCAAGCGCAGGCTAGAAAATAACAAACTTTTAAACTATTAATTTGCCACCTTTAACCATATGAACGAGATTTATAGTTATAAAATAAACCAGCAAATTTTAGGCAATAAATATCCCCTCAATTTGGTGATTTTACCCTCAGGTTAGAAAATTTAAAAGAGGTTAGGAGAAAAAAATTGAGACATAGAAGAGTAAGAGATTAGAAGCTAAGCTGAAGGACAGAGGAAAATTACACAACCTTTGGGAAACTGGTGAAGAAGGCAGGAGGGAAAGAAAGAAGGAAGAAGCAGAACAAAAAAAAACCTAGAAACAATAGTCACACATATAAAAACAAGAACAAACAATAAAGAAAAAAACAAAGAAAGGAAGAAAAAAAAATTCCACTTCAAGGTGTGTCTCCGCTGTCACTGGTAGACAACTGGCACAGATAGAGCTCAGATCTGTGTTGGTTGATCCCAGAAAGCCTGCAATAGAATTACAGGGGAATGGTAGATAATCCCAGCAAGCTTGCACTTTCAGCTCCACTGAAGTTCAGGCTGCTTCTGGTCTTTGGTTGTGAGGCTGGGACTCAAGTTGTTCAGCTGACAACACTCTGGGTGCCTCCTGCCAGCCTGAATTTGGCTCCCTGCCCCTAGGTGTCTCTCACAGCTGTGCTTCACCCTGACACTGGGAGCCTTGAGATGGAGCCAACCCACTGTTGATTTGAGTCCTGGGTTCAGTTGGCCTCCGTCCAAAATGGTGACTGGCCAATTGCCTTCTCCTGGGGACACCAAAACTAGACTGGAATCACTTACCAGCCACTACAGTTCATAGCCTCCACTGCTCCATTCCACTGGCACATCTCTCCATGGAGGCCTCTGGAGTCACCAGTAGTCACCATTCCTCTGCAGACAGGTTTATGCCACCCCTCCCATGCCTCAAGCCAGGACTTGGCAAGTAAGTGCTGCTTGCTACTTTCATCTTTGGCATTGAGGTCCCTCTCTTTTCTCTCCCTGTGAGCTCCAATTCTTGCTTCAGATCCTTGCTGAGTCCCAGGAATCCACTTCCCTCCTTCTTCTATTCCACACATTGTTATATTCCAGCATCAGGACTCCAAAAAATCCAGCTATTTGCTTAAGAACCTACACAGTCTCAGGCTCAGAGGGAAGTGATGAGTTGGCCTAGGCAGAACCCTGCTCGCCACTCTTTTCCAGTCTCTACCTTGCCCACACACTTTCCCCAAGGCCTGACCCAGGCCTACTCCTTCACAAGGGGACTGAGTTCTTTCCATAAAGGACCTCATGGCCTTGTACCCACAGCTGCACTCCCAGACTCTGTGTCCCCTCAGCACGTCGGGCTACTTCCCACCCACTCTCCAGCAGAGGACTTTAGCTCCACCTCAGGGGAGAGAAGTGTGTAGAAAGAGTGATCACATCTTTAAATCCACCACAATGGCAAGACAAATTGGATACAACTGCCTGTCCATCTGTCAATGCCACCTCTGGAAAATGAATAAGCACAGATTCCACATTCCTTGAGGGAAAAGCAGACATTTCTTCTACCATAATTCAATTCCAATGTCTCAACATGACACTGTTGAGAGGTTTTTTTATTTTATTATTTGAGACGGGACCTTGCCACGTTGCCCAAACTGACCTCTAACTCCTGGGCTCAAGCAATTCTCCTGCCTTAGCCTCCTGAGTAGATGGATTTACAGATGTTCACTATCGCACCCAGCTTCTGCAAGCTCTTAAAGGACAGGTAATAGCATCTGTCGCACTGTCATCCTTCGAATGGTTCATCAACACTTTGTCATTAGCCCACAACTGTAGGGACAGGCTGTGGCTCAGGAAGACAAACCATGGAGACAGCAGGACAGATCATCTCATCTGTCTGCAGATCCCATCACCACTCCCAAGTCAGAGAGGGTGGCCTGTGTTTTCTTGTTCCCACCTCTCACTTTCTTCACTTCTCTCTGCCATGGCTGCTGTGCTATTCTCTCTTACCTATAACACATATGCCTGCCTTCTCAGGAAGAGCATAGCGGAGGGAAGAGGACAGGGAATGGCTTTTATCATTATCTCAGGCTCAAAATTGCACTGAAGATATTAGTCACAAAAGGGTTAAAATGAGGGCTCAGTAAATTGTCTTATTAAAATGACTACACTATGATATTTATAGAGGGTATTGTGTTATCTTAAAGCAAATGTGGCTTTTTAAAATTTTGTAATGTACTTTGCAATGGATATTTCCATATGTTGTCTTTCAGGCAGCTGGGTGATTTTATCCTCAGCCCTTCAGCAAGTGCTATGAAGAAGGCATTCTGAAGAATCAACCAAGTTCTCTGTGAGACCCGGTGAACACCACTGTCTTAACCACAGAGAGGAGAGATGAAGCACATTATCCACACAAATGGAAATGTCAATGGCACAGCAAGAAACACCTCAGACTGTCCCCATGTGGCTTTGCCGGAAGAGATGTTTTTCATCATCTCCATTGCTGGGGTTTTGGAAAACCTCATCATCCTCCTGGCCGTGATCAAGAACAAGACCCTCCAGTCCCCCATGTACCTTTTCGTCTGTAGCTTGGCCGTTTCTGACATGCTGGGAAGCCTGTATAAGATCGTGGAAAATATCCTAATCATGTTCAGAAACATGGGTTATCTCAAGCCCCGTGGCAGTTTTGAAGCCACAGCAGATGACATCATTGACACCATGTTTATCCTCTCCCTGCTTGGCTCCATCTTTAGCCTACTGGCAATTGCTGTTGATCGCTACATCACCATCTTCCACGCCCTGCAGTACCACAGCATTGTGACCACGCGCCGCACTATTGCCACTCTGGCAGTCATCTGGACCTTTTGCATTGGAAGTGGCATTGCCATGGTGATCTTCTCCCATCATGTCCCCACAGTGCTCACCTTCGCCTCACTGTTCCCTCTGATGCTGGTCTTTATCCTCTGCCTCTATGTACACATGTTCCTGCTGGCTCGCTCTCATGTCAGGAACATCTCCACCCTTCCCAGAGCCAACATGAGAGGGGCCATCACCTTGACCATCCTGCTGGGGGTCTTCATCTTCTGTTGGGCCCCTTTCATCCTTCACATCCTTTTAATGACCTTCTGTCCCAGAAACCCCTATTGTACCTGTTACATGTCCCTCTTCCAGGTGAACGGCATGCTGATCATGTGCAATGGAGTCATTGACCCCTTCATCTATGCCTTCCGGAGTCCAGAGCTCAGGGGTGCATTCAGAAGGATGATATCCTATTGCTAGTACCCGTAGAATCACTGATCCTGATTTAAAGATCCTCTAGGATAATATGATCAAGAGAGAGACCATGTCTTGGAACACAGTAACATAACATTCTGTTACCAGGTTTTGGGGTATTGGAGCCTCCTTCTAGAAGTGGTTCCTGAATTCTTTCCTCTCAAAGAATTGAATGAAAGAAGCAAAAACAATAGGAAAGTCTCACACTTATTTGAGATAGGAAAAATTAAACATGAAAGATAAGGGAGAAACTAGCTCTGCACAGTGAAAGAGAGGAAAAATAAAAAGCAAGTAAAAGGAAAAATAAAAACCAAAATAAAAATTAAAATATAAAATAAAAGTACACTCTGGGGACACAGGAAGGGCCACCATGAAGAGTCATGTTAGTGATTGCTTAATAGCGACTGTCTCTTTGTTCATCCCGCATATCGTGGGTTCTCACAAGAAGTCTATATATGGGGTCCTAAGGAATGTTTTGCACGTATGTCCCTGGATCTGGTCACACTTACTCTCCCAGCCAGCTTTGCTACTCCCTGCTTTCTTGCCTTAGTACCACCAAATACTAATGCTTGCAACTCTCTTCTTTTCCTATGGGCCAGAGGATAATCCTACTAACACTTCTGTGTGAACAGTCTTGTTGTAAGTGCATACTGTACAACTAACTGCATTATTAGGGGGATAAAATGATGTGCCTGAAACAAAGACAGAATACAAAGCACACATGGCAATACAAACTTGAGAGCTACAGGATAGGGCCAACAGATGCTCCATACCTCTCCCAAGGGGTCTTCTAAATTGGCAGCCATGGCAGCCTGTCTGGAGACGTTAAAGTAGCTGGGCAAGTGTGTGAGTCAACTTTCCAACACTTTAGGAGATATACAAGATTAATCAAGTTCAAAGGAGCAAAGATTTATCTTGGCTCTCAGATCCAGAGGTTTCAGTCTGTGAGTACCCACCCCATTGCCTGTGGCCCTAAGGTGAGGCGGCACACCATGGCAGGAATGCTTGGCAGAGGTGGCTGCTCACCTCATGGCAGCAAGGAGACAGAGAGAGACAGAAAGAGACCTATGTCCCACAGTCCCTGTAAAGAGCATGTACCTAATGGCCCCTCAAGGTCCCACCACCTTCCAACAACATCAAGCTAAGGACCAGAACTTCAACACACGCATGGCCCTCTGGGAGCCACTTAACTGAGGCACAGCAGCAAACAACTAAGGGCAGAAACCGTCAGGTCTTTGTAAGACAGGGGTGCTGACAGCTTCGGTTGATTGCCTATCTCCATGGTCACGCAGCGGTCAGTCCCCTCTCTCCCTCCCTTTGCCTGCCTGACTTATCTAAAGCATTTCAATCATCTTTGGAAGCAGCCAAAGTATAATGACTGTGTCAAATAACCACCTTGGAGTTTCCAATAATAACAAACCTTTACTGTGAGTCTTATTTGCTCTCTCAATTCCTCTCTCAAATGTGTCAGGGTCTGGATGCAGGCCAGGGTCACCTGGCCTTAAAATCCATGCCTAGTTAAATCTCCTCATGCTTTGGAAACATAAAGTTCAAGGAGAAAATAAACAATTTAATCCATTTGGTTCCTATGTGAGAATGCATAAAGGTCAAAGGAAAACTGATTATTTGAAGTAGATGTAACAAATATTTGTGTATTTTTCCAAATAAATTTTGTGCAATAGGGAGAGAGAAAGAGACAGAGACAGAGACAGAGATGCCATCCTGCACTTGGACTATAAGGAAACCAAGACTAAAACAACACAACAAGCAGGAGGCTGTTCCTAACGTCCCAAAGATGTGATGAGAAAGATTCCACCTCCTCCTCAGGTGAATCTGAAAGGCAGATGCAGTCACTGGAAAACTGTATACTGCCCATCAGCCACAGTTAAGAGGCCAGATGTGGAAAAGTGTCATCTAAACAGTAATAAAAGGACACACACTGCCAGTTCATCCAGGTTTTATGGGTGCAGATAAAGCTCAAAGCAGCAGCCAGTCCTGGGGTGAGTTGCTTAGGCTGGAGAGGACCAGAGAGGCTGAGTGACAAAGGGACAGAAGAATAGGGGCTGCAGGATCCACTGCAGGGGATGGTGGCTTCTGGAGCCCACACTTTGTGTGTTTCAGAGAAGCCTGCTCCTTCCTGGCAGACAAGAACTGGCTGCCCAATTGGAAGATCTCGAGGGACAGAAGAGAGGCAGACAGCTGCCGGGGTGCAGTGTGTCCAGTACGGAGGTCAGAGGAAAGTGTTGGCACACTGACCTGGCCAGAGGTCTCGGCGCCTGAAATGCATCTGGCCTTTCTCAAGAACTCACACACACAACCTCTGTCAGGAACAGCTCGGCGTCATGGCCAGTGCTCCACGCCCCACCAACTCATGTGCCAGGAGCACGTAGGCACACAGAAGTTACCACCAAGACAGCTGTGGCCACATGAACCTGGTGCATCCCCTGCAGAAGCGAGCTAGGCAGCTTGGGGGTGGCCTTGCTGCTAGACATGAGAAGGACAGGAGCCTCCGCAAAGAGGAAGGTGACACAGGCACAGTTTGTGTTTCCATATGGCTCGTGTCACAGCCAGGGCAAGCCCATAGGGCATCTTCCCCTGTGGTGCTCTGTAGGAATTCTTTCTGGCCTTCTCCCCACCGAATGACTGTTTTTCTAACATTGGTCTGGGTCTATTAACATATACAATAAATTTAAATTTAAAATGATGCATTTAAATTTTTAAAAACTTATTTCAATAAAAGACACACTGCCATGAATCCCACTCAAAATCTTCCCCCTCACTTCAAGCACAATTAACCCAATGTTCTTGCTACTTTCCAGAGCAGTTCTGAAGTGAGGAGGATTTTGAGGGGGACCAATGGCAATATGTCTTTCACTGCAACAGTTTTGTTTAAATTTAAACATTCATCATAGTTTTCAATCACCCCTTCCTTGTATGACACTACTTGTAACTTCTTTAGTGTAAAATCTGAGGTGCAGCCTCATATGTAACTTTTAAAAGGGCTATTTTTATTCTTGAAAAAATGATACAGAGCACATTTTTCTGTAATTAAACTGTGTCCACAATAGAATATAATGTTTCCCTGAGGGTGCACAGGTCTGAGATGCCTCATGGCGGGGAATGCAATGCAAGGCCCCTGTGCCCTCCTCAGGGTGGCTGTCTTCTCTCAAGCACTTGACTGTCATCTGCAACAGTTGTCTGAGAAGGGCCTGGAACTCCTCTCTGCCCTTGCTGAGTTGTGGGGGTTTTTAAATTAATTTTATTGGTACGTTTTAGGTATACAATATAATGACATTCATCATTGGAAATGTGCACCTTTACATAGTCTCTCTTGGTTCTTATTTTTTCCCCATTCCCCTGCCCTCCCTTCAACCCCTCCATCCCTCACTATTTACAGACTTTGTT